CTTTGTAAAATGGGTTAAAGTACTTCAACTTCAAAAAGACAGAATAGCAAATATCAATGAGTTCAGGAAACTGGTGGGGGCAAGATTTCTGAATAGCTGTCGAAAAGGATAAAAGAGATCTGAGAACTGATATAAGGGCTGGTGTCAAAGTCCTAATAAGAAACTATCTTGCTGTACAGGAAATTGAGGGAACATAGAGACCAATAAGGGCCTTCACCTGTGAAGAGCTTTAGCATCCTGAAGCTTGAAAAGAAAAAACACAGAACCTGAAACAAGAGCATTTACCTAAGGCTCTGAATACAGCAATGGCACAAGAAGGCTGGCATAAGATCAGAAAGGCTGAAGCCTAAAAATACCTTTAACTAGCACGTGATCTAAAAGAGGTGGAGGGAGAAGGTAAGTTCTGTTATAGCGTGGAAGCTGATGTGAAACAGTCACTTAAAGAAAGCGGAATTTTTAAAGCTTGTTTTATTCACTTTGTTTAAAAAAAAAAAAAATTCTTAGCAGAATTAATTTTATTAAGAAGAAAAGAGCATAACACCACAACAACCCCCAGCTGATGAGGAGAAAGAACAAGGTAAGTGATACTTGGATCACTGAGGAGAATAGCAGCAGGATCATGTGAAGCTCACTGTGGAAAATTCAGAGCACTGGCCCAAGTGCTTCTGACTCACGTGGGATGGGTTTTGGAGCACTGTAGAATACATGTGAGCTCCCAGAGGACTTAAGGATGGCAAGACAAGGTCATCTAACTAGAGATGAATTAAATCAGGGAGTTAACAGACCTGATATTTTAATGGTGTCTCTATGTGAAAACTTCTAAGAGTGAGGTGCAGAACAGTTATTCCCTAATCACCTAGATACATGTGTAAGTTTGTGGAAAATGGCTGGAATGGATTTGTTGATGTTTTGCTGAGGACAAATCGTATCAAACCAATTTAATTTCACTCTTTGACAGGATAACTGGCCTCATCGCTTTGGGGTCAGTAGGAGATGTGATATATCTTGACTTTGGTAAGGCTTCTGGCATTGTCCCAGAAGATGTTCTCATAAGCGAGCTGAGGAAATGCAACCTAGACTCACAATACATTGAGCTCAGTGTCAAAGTCAGAGAGCTTCCTGGGGAAGTCTTTTGAGTGTCTGTCCAGGGTCCAGGTCTATTCAGTATTTTCATCAGCAGCTTTAGGAATCTACTTCGCTATACGATGTCCTGGTGGCATCCAACTGCCTGGGGCAATGAGCACTTATAAAGGGTAGAACCAGAATACTTGACAAATTGGAGAAACCATCCAAGTTAACAGGATGAGTTCCAGCATAGGAGTATGCAATGACCTGCCACGGGAATAATGAGGAGAATGTACAAACAAAAGGTAATCCAGTAGCAAATAGTGCTTAGAAGCTGAAAGAGGAGAAAGGGGAGAACCTAAAGGGCTTTCTAACATACAGCATACTCGTATGAGTGATGGTAATCAATGATTTTCCATGACACTGCTTAAAAAACAAGAAGGAAAAAGTCATCGGGGCAAAAGAAAACTGTTTAGTTTTGCTGTTATTTTCTATGCAAAATGCTACTGAAGGAAAGGAGGTTATAAATCTCTTTTTTGCTACATTTTTGAAAGCTTACTGAACAACCATGGGAGTGGTCTCTACAGCATGCCCTGTTGAGGTGTCCTTGAGAGAAGGCGGCCCCTTTTCAGCTTTAATGTTGAGTTTTTTCCCTACATCTTTTCTGTGCACCCAATTTTTATGCATGTTGTTTTCACAAAACACGGCCAGTGTTCCTGTAATGCAAGCCTGTTTCCTGAGACACCAGAGAGATCATCCCAAGAATTTATTTATAACTTCACAACTTAGACTCTAAAAGAATACAATCTTGCTTGAAGGGTTTAGTTCTTTAATTCACCTAAATCTCATACTAAATTTAACTTTCTAGGCCTGTGTTGTTTTTTTATTGCATTGTTTAAACTGGGCCAATCTCTGAGTGTACCCCCAGCAATGATGAATTGGGTAGGTCATGGTTTTTCCTTTAGCTGCAACTACCACTCAGCTCACCGTGCAAGTGGCATTAACAGTGGCACTGCGAGACATGGGTGCATCCTCAGTTATAGGTGATGAGCTCATCAGCATCATGTCATACCTGCAGGCTCCGTGTCTAAGCTCAAGCCATCGTTTCTTGGAGGCACGTCTTGGTTTTCCTGAGGAAAACTAACCCAATCCAGCCACCACTTGAGGCAAAGCACTGCCTCCTGGGGGAAGGGAAGGCAGAGGGGTGTGTGTTTTGGGTAAAACTCCTCAGGGCGTTAATATCGGTGAGTCATTTACTCATGGTTTTAATTATCTAGATATTATATTGTAAATAGCTCACTTAAATACTGAGAGGACGTTCGTCCCCACCCCCCTGTGGAGGCAAGTCACAAATAATGCTATTAACAAGCAGGCTGCCTCTGGCACACGCACACACATTATGACAACAGTCATTAAAAACATTTTTTTCCATACAATATTCCAGAGGTTATTCTTGGTGACAGTGCTTTTCAGCTTGTGGCCAGGGCTGAGCAACTGCTGCTCCCTTTATGTGGGCTTGTTCTTACACCAAGGTCATGGCCATGACAATTCCCCAACTGAATAAACCAAGAAATATTGCTATGCCCACCCCCAAGGCAATACCAGGTGAATGATATGAGGATTACCTGCAGTTGTGCAACACCACGCATTCAAAAAATGACTGAGGATGGTCTGTCCAGGGAGGTGGTAGAGTCAGTGTCCCTGGAGGTGTTCAAGAAATGTGTACATGTGGCACTGAGGGACATGGTTAGTGGCCATGGTAGAGATGGGTCAGTGGTTGGACCTGATGACTTTAGTGGTTTTTTAACCTTTATTATTCTATACTTTATCTCACCAATGCTGAGGTACTTCAGCACCTTCCAAATGCCTTCCCAGAGCAAAGTGCTTTGCTGGGGAAGGCATGTGAGTTGGCGTCATCCTACAACAGCAACGGGCCAAGGCGACTGAAGCCCATGGTGGTGGCACATGCAAGTTGATGGTGGCTTCTCCTTGCAGATGGTGCTGTGGGATGAGGCATTGTTGCTGCTTCGAGATGGAAAGTGGAGGAGTCCTCTGGTACCAGGGACAAGTGGCTTATAAATGAGTCCAGCAGCCACAGCTGTGAGATCAGAGGAAACGTAAATCACAGAATATTTTTGTCTTTAATTTGTGCTTGTCCAGAAAAGTTCTGATGACACTAACACAGCAGTAACTAGCAAAAAGGTAAGAAACTCTGAGCTAAGAGCTGCAAATGCTCTCCTCCCTGGTTTAAAAACTTTGCTCAACAGCTCTAATAGCCACTCAATTCTTAACTGTGTACTGCAGCTGATTCCCAATGCCTGCAGTCTCCTCTCATTCTGCCCAGCTTTCCCTGGGGTAGCATCCTTAGGTTCCAGACCTAATCCTTTGGGTGCTGGCCTGTCTCTGTGCAGTGGTGGCAGTAAGCCAGGCAGGCAGGGGGCTCCAGCACCCTGCACCCCAAACCCAGTCACTGAAGCCAAAGGCAATGGCTTTGCCTTTTTTTGCAGCAGCAAGAAAAACAGAGCAGCAAAAGTTCCCCTCTGCAAAGCATCAAAGCTAAAGCTGCTGTTGGATCCTCCCAGCAAAACCTGATGCTGGCAGGGAGTGAAGCAGCCAGGATGAGTGATGGTGTCCACACACCTGCCCAGATGCAAGCACACAAACCAAAAATTAAACATAAAAGCCTCAGCAAAAAAAAATCCCCAAGGCACCACATTTGCTTTTTTTTTTTTTTTTTTTAAGCTTGCATATTTTTTAATGAAGTAAAAAAGGAAAAATAAAATAAACACTCCACTGAAGTTGTCAGCTTGGCACAGGTCTCCGCAGTGCATCGAGGGCACCAAAGTCACCATGCAATTGGCAGTCACAGATGCTCGTCCCCCTGCACCCCCTCCCACAGAGTGAGCCTAAGAAAGCTGCAGATGAAAAGCACATGACCAATACACCACAAGCAACAGAATAACAGCACTGCATAACAGTGAGTTCCCCACGCCTGGGTTTTAGCCAGGAATGGGTGAACTGATATGGTTAAAATAAGAACTCAACAGACTTGACATGTCCAAATTAAAAACTGCAATGATAACATAATCCCCTTGCACCTTAAACACCCCTACACACACATCCAGAGATTATTTTTCGGGGCTTCTTTCATTTTTCTTCCCCCGTCACACATCTGTGCTCTGGGGTCCCAGCCTGGGTGGCAGCAGAGGTGGTGCCCAATGCCGGCAGGAGCTGCTCGGTGGATGGTGGCATGGCCAGAGATCAGAGAGACCAACACACTTGGCAGGATCCCCATCTTTCTTGTGCCCTCCCCCAAAAGCCACCCCAGAGGGAGGAGAAGAGGCAGTAGACTGTCTTCCCTTAGGCTTCCATGAAGGGCACTCCACCTGCAAAGCTCCTGCAAGATGGATCCTTCTTCTCTGCCTCATGCTTACACACATTTATACAGCGAGATATTCAATAAACCTTTCGTACGAAAATAAATATTTCATCTGATTTAAGGACCATTGTCACGCTCATCTCTTTACCTGCTGTAATGATAGGCTGTCATGGATGGAACATGCGTAATTCCTGCTGCTTTCCCCTCACCTGCAGCCACCATCTCCCTGTCCCAGGGCAGCAGGAAGCACTCCAGTATGCTGACAGCCCCTCAGTCTGTGCTCTGCTGACTGCCTGGGTTTGGCTGATGCTAGCGAAGTCACGGATTTTCCTTACAGCACCTGTTTCTTGATAGAAGAAATTATCTTCCTCTTGGAAACACTTTTAAAAAAGCAAGGTTTTTAACAATGTCTTCCAGGTCTCTCAGTTAAGAAATGTGTTTATAGATAGAACTGTTTATATAGATATAGGTATAAGTTTTATTTAATTTTATTACCAACCCAACATTTCGATTGCAGCCGTTGATGTAATTCATGTAATTCATACTCTTGCTTTTGTTTTTTTTTTTTTTTCCTGAAAAAGAAATGCACTTCAGATGAAAAGGGTGTGTCTGTCTGCCTGTCTGCTCTCCGGGGATGTGCTGGGGTTGGCACAGTACTGCAGGCAGGCAGCAGTTTGAAGCCTGGTCCTTTCCATGGAGCGTGAGGAGGGTGATGGGTGGGACAATGACCCCGTTCCTGTTCACCAACCCGCGTGTTTAAACCTACCCTCAACCTGGAAGGCCAACGCTGAGAGAGTTGTGGGAGGCACGCAGAGGCTTCCTGCTCATTTCGGTACACCAGAGCAGCGTTACTGGGATTCGCTCCCACATCCAGTGAGGCCTACAGGACAGGGCTGTGCCACGCCACCATCTTGTGCAGCCTATGCAATCTCCCGGACTCTTCAGCCCCTCAGCAGGCTGTCACTGTGCCCCTGTTCATTTCGCTACCTCTCGCCCGTTAACATCATTTTCTCTTCCTGCAGTACCACAAGCTCAAAGTTAGTTACACAAAGAGAAATGCCATAGTCAAATATACATTATACATATTATATTAGAAGGTTGGTTGTTTTGGTTTTTTTTCCTCCTTTTTTTTTTTTCTTAGCCCAGGCAGGTGATTGAGATGCTACATGCTTCAGCCTTCATCACTGAACTGGTGTGCTGTGTGTGTGTGTGTGTACGTGTGTGTTTGTATTAAAAATATATCAGTCCTGTGATGCTCTTAAAAAAAGAAAGAAATGGATGGAGGCGGGGGAGGAAACTTGTGAGAGTGAAAAAGTTCTTTGACAGTGTCAGAGTCTGTTGTGGCTTCAAAAAGTACACCTTCGATTCCAGCACTGACGGCAGCTTGAAGCTTTAGATTTTAAACTTATAACATTTTTCTGTCTAAGTAGTACAAATAAAAAAATAAAAAATAAAAAAATCAAGCCATGTGCCCCCCCCCAAACTAAAAAGCAATAGGCGAAAGAAAAAAAATAATAAATTTCCTATCAGACTTCTGCAATTCCTAAAGAGTAAAAACAAGAAAGCATCTCCTTACAGTGGAGGGGTGCTCCGGAGAAGAGGAAACGAACCTGTGGGAGAGGTGGCCATGGGAGATGGCTGAGACTTCTTAGTCACATCGACTGGGGTCAGTGGCTGGGTTCACTTCATTTTGTCCATTTAAACGCTTGCCATTGTTGCTTTCTTTTCTTTTGCATCATTTTTTGGGGTGGTTTTCGTGGATTCCGTTTTTGTCCTGTGATGGATCTGCCCATCCTGGCACCCGTCAGGGCGGCGAGCTGACAGCGTCCATCCTGGTGAAACCACGCTTCCAGGGCCGGTGTCCGGTGAGGTAATGGAGGAGGGGGTCCCTCCCTCGGCGGCACTGTCTCTCCGCCGCCTAAAACCCCTTGATGTAGCAATAGGCCTCCAGGGTGGCAAAGAGGATGTACAGCAGCCACAGGCTGACAAAGAGCAACGTCGTGGCCAGTTTGCAACCCCGGGGACCGCCCAGCTCTCCCCCGAGGTGGGGCCGCCGGCGGTAGAGGAGAACACTAATGCAGATGAAGGCGAAGATGGTGAAGAGGGTGACAGAGAAGGCCAGGGTGCCGGCTGACACCTGGAACTCCTGCCCCTGTGACGCCCAGTAGATTGCCGCCACCGACCATGCCAGCCCAATGCCCAGGAAGACATTGACGGCGTTGCTGCCTGTGACGTTGCTGATTGAGGCATCGGCGTACACGTCCTGGATGGCTGCAGCTTTGCTGGCAAATGTGTCTGCGGGGGAAGGAGGGATCGTCAGGGTCCAACAGGAGAAATGGGCAACCCTTCATGCTGGGGGATGAGGGAGGCTCAGGTATGCTACCAGACAGGCTGGGACATGGACCCCAATCTCCTCTGGACCCCCCATCCCCTCCCCATAGCCTCCCCACCTGGTACGGAGGTGCCGAAGGCTACAAACACAACGGCGGTCACCGAGTCCTTGAGGCCGATGGTGCAGCCGAAGTGGGAGGCGAGGTCACCGATGACAGCTGTGAGCATGCCAATGATGAGGATGGAGACAACGAAGCAGGCCCAGCCATTGCAGTACTCGGTGGGGGGCACGCAGGCAAACAGCACCTTCCAGAAGACAGTCAGGAAGTGCATCACGTAGTCAAAGCAGGATGGCAGGCGCTCTTCACCAGACTCATCCTCATCTTCATCACCTGCTGCAACCATGGAATAAGAGGTCCAGCTCATATGATTGAGCATCCTCATGGCCACCCACCTTCTGCTGCACTTCTCCAGCTCGGCCACTGGGTGCAAGACTGGGGGCTTCCTCCCTCCCCAAACTGCCTCCTCCCCACACAAAGCAGCATGGAGGTGTACCACATCAGTGCCAGCCACCACCACGGGAACCAGCTAATGGGACTTAGCAGCTGCCGGAGCCCTCAGTGGCAGTGGTGGTGCTCAGCAAGACAGAAGGACTCATATGACACCTCAGGAACACGCATCCACCCTGTGTGGCTGTGAGACAGTAAGCAATACTCTCAGGGGCTGTCCTCATCCCCAGCCACAAGCCATCATAAAGTACCTAGTTACCCTGTGGAAGTCACTGCTGAGAGACACCATGAAATCACACAGCAGAAAGTTATAGAAATGAGTGCCACTGAGGGAAACTAGAGGGCTCTCTTGGTCCACCTGCTCCAAATCATGGGCTGATGGACACTTCCCAGCAAGAAGTGTCACACCTGTGTGAAGGTATAAGTAGCAGCAGCTGTGTGACCTCATGGAGGGGGGAGATTAACTCAGAGATTGGAAGTGCTGTTGGTCTGGGTGTGAATACAAGATGATGAAAATAAACTGGAGAAAGTAGGTAGGGAGCACAGGGCAGATAGCAAGGAAAAGAGAGAGACAGAAGAAGAAAGGAACCGGCCTGGGAGAAAACATTGCTTCAAGGTTGGAGGTACTGTTTCCAGTGAGGTTATTTCTGTTAGTTGCTAGAAAGAAGAAAAATGAATATCCTGCATCTCTTTTCACTTCAGAAAAAGCACTTCTGGCCACTGGTGAGAGACCACCAGAGACAGATACACTCAATAACTGAACAGGTCTGAGCAGGCAGAATCTGCCTCATAAGCCCAGACACATCTCATCCCTGGCTGCACATGTGCAGGGGATGCTGATATGGGGTTACTGATCTCCCCCTCACCTGCGCTGACGGTGATGGCCTCCAAAAACTGGTCCCTCCAGGAATGTGTCCCTACAACCAAAGCTAGGTTTGTCTTCTTAATGAGCTTGTCCACAGTGCTCTGTTGTGGAAATAAAGATGCACAGCAATTAGACCTTTTGCTAGCAGGCAAAGCTGACCTCCCCTTCTGCCCCTTGGCAAACTGTGGAGGTGCCACAAAAATGCTCCTATCAGGAGCTCCATGCTGAATCCACTGATAACTCCCAACCCAGTACAGCATGAGCTGTACTTCACCAGAGTCTGCTTTTTTGGTACTCCTTTCTCCAAACAAAGCTCAGCTTCTTTCTGTCAATCCTGCCTTGCACGAACAGTTTGCTCCTGGCATCTGCATTTCTGGCATGGTAGCATGTGCTTCTAGCAGGACTCCCGTCTTCCTCTCTTCACCTCTACCTACCAGCAGCTACGTCTCCTGGCATTTATTCAGGCTTTCCCTACCCCCTATTGTATCATACACTCTTCTTCCTCTTCTGGCAGCCCTCTACCTGTACACACAGCCACACCCTGCCTCCTCAACCCTGCTTTCCATGGCAGCTCTTCACTGCCATACAGCTTCCCCCTCCTGCAGGACCCCTAGGACAACCACTGACCTTGAACTCATATGACTCCTCAATGATGACTTCTAGTTTGGGGTGTTCGCCAAGTATTGGTTTGCCCATCTCTGCAATCCTCTTGGCTTCTTCTTCTTCAACTGTCAGCTTCCTCTCAGCCACTTCTGCAAAAGCAAGACCAACACTGAGCAGCAGGCAGCAGCTGCCTCACAGCTCCCTGCAGTAACACAGAGACCTGGGGCAGGGGTGGGGTACTGGGCCATGGGAATAAAGAACCAAGATTTCTGCCTATCGGTTAGTCACTGAGAGCATATAAAGCACGGTTGTCTTTGCCTTTAAAAAGAAAAAAAATTCTTCAGCCTGCATTGGTGCTCTTGGATGATAAATGCTGAGTTGTGGGAGCTCAGCAGAACCTGGGGAGGTACCACAAAGGAACAGCATCCCATTCTGGCCAAGTAGTGGGTCAGGTATTATTACCAAGGCTTCCTGTTGAGTTTACAGACACCCCAGGTAATGCCTCAGATGTGACTAATCCCATGTGGACTCCAGCAGATCTCTTAACTCCTCACCAAAATCGCACAGAAGTGATAAACTCCCAGTGGAGTCCAATTGTAAACTCTGCCTTCTCTTCATCAGCCCTGCTAGACTGACTGCAGAGACTTGTGAGACTGCAGGGTTTATAAGACGTACGAGAACGCCTACGTCAAGTGGTATTCCTATAGCCCATCACAGAAGCACGAACAACTACATCCATCACTTGAAATCAATGAAGTACATCAAAGCCATCACTGCCTAACTCCAACACGTGTCCTGTGGATTTGGGAATCCCCAGAAGTTTACATGTGCTGACAGAGACAGAAGAGCAGAGCAGCTGGAGCAACACAGGGTGGTGGAGGAGGGATGGAGGACGATGGCAGGCAATAGCCAAGTGGCTCCATAAGGGAATACCTTGAAAAACCTTATGTTGTACACTACATTTGGAGGCAAGATTCAAGCTACTTATATATATTCACACGAGCAAGGAGTTTGTGAAACCTTAATCTCTTTCTCCAAGACAGAAACCTAGAAAATCCAGTCTCTGCCTCTATCCAGAAGTGTATGAGGATGACAAGCTGTATCTAACATCGAAGATTCGGGTGCTTACACATCAGTTGTTGTTCCACGTGTGTGGCTCACCCCCCCGCAATTAAAAGCTCAGAGGAGGCAGCTCATGGCAGATGGTGCTGGTGTGTGCCCACAGCAGGGAGCTGAGGATGAAGTAGAACAGTTAGCCATCCCAGCAGGGCTGCACAGCCCAGACTCGCTGGCAGTCTGGCTCACTACGACTTCCCTGGAAAGTAATACAGAACATCCATGGGCTGCAGCTGGCAGCACCAGGCTCTTGCCCACCAGTTACTGTCATGCAGCAGAGAAAGAAAGCAAGTATCTGGAGTCAGCTGCCCGGAAAGCTGGGAATCTTAGACTAAATTTTCCCAGCTTAACAACCACAGGAGAAATGCTAAAAAAACAAACAAAAAAAACCCCAAAAAACAAACACAAACATCTCAATCCCTGCTTTAACTGATTTGACAAAAGCTTTTGACATGGCAAGACAACAGAGCCTCATGCAAATCTTAGCCATCTTCAGACAGATCCCTAAGTGCACGCACTACAGAACATGCTCTTCTCCCTGCGGGAAGTAGCATCCAACACAGACTTATCTCAGCCTCTGCCTCCTTGCTCGTGCTGTTTGATGTGCCTGTGCCAGGCAGGACAGTGCAAGAGCTGCAGCAGCACTCTAAGGAGTGGGCCAATCCAGGGCTACATAGAGCACTGTGCCCAGGACCTCTGGCAGGACCTCTGGCTGCTGGCAGGTGGCTGTGGAATGTGCAGTACTGCGAAGTGTCAGCAGAAGTGGCACCTTCATGACCAAGGCCTTGCCAGGTGATGGCCAAAGATGGAGAGCTGCAGCCTGCAGACAGCATGTCCCAACCCCTGAGTAAGGGAGGTCCAGCTGCCCCCACACAGCTCCGCCAGAGTGAATACAGTGAACTGGGGCACCGAGAAGAAACATGGTCACCCAAGAAGCCATGTCAAGGGTGTCCACTGCAGGCAGGTGGTTGAACACCACTCCCAAGCTAAACCCCTCAGATATGAGCTGCAAGTAGGTGTCAACTCATAGGCAGCATGCCTGATAGGGTATCTCACAGAAACATTCACAGAGGAAGCTTACTTCAACTGCAAAAGCAAGGCGATTCCTGCACGACTCATGAATCACAGAATCGTCAAGGTTGGAAAAGACCTTCAAGATCATCCAGTCCAACTGTCTCCCTGTCATCAATATCTCCCACTAAACTACATCCCTCGGCACAACATCTAAACATTTCTCACATCTCCAGGGTCGGTGACTCACCACCTCCCTGGGCAGCCCATTCCAGTGCCTGACCACTCTTTTGGAGAAAAAAAAATTCCTAACATCCAACTGAATCTCCCCTGGCATAACTTGAGGCCATTCCCTCTAGTTCTATCACTACACAAGAGAAGAGGCTGGCCCCCATCTCACTACAGCCTCCCTTCAGGTCATTGTGGAGTGTGATAAGGTCTCCCCTGAGCCTCCTCTTCTCCAGACTGAACAATCTCAGCTCCTTCAGCCACTCTTCCTAAAGTCTATGCTCCAGACCCCTCACCAGCTTTGCTGCCCTTCTCTGGACATGCCCCAGGGCTGCAAAAAACAGAAATATATCCAGAATATTTCCAAATATGCAACAGGAAAGAGAACCTGTTACACAAAGTACAGAAACCTAACAAACCTCAAAGGCGAATTTGAAAATGTTAAACCTAAGTCTTTCATCCTAACTTAAGACACAACCTGAACTGAGCTTGCTGATTCTGTTTGTTCCCACTGGATGCTGAGTGGAGCCCCATGAGCAGAGGCCCAGCAGCTGAGCTGGATGAGAGAGACAGACTTTTTTAATTTGGAAGGTCAAACCTTACAAGGTGAATACTGCCAAACTGCAGCTTAATTATTAACTAGCCTGATTTCTGTTTGTATCAGCATCTGCACCTACTCTTCAATGCGGATTGCACCCTGGACTCCCAGCTGTCAACCCCAATTAAGCCTGATAAGGTCTGGATATGCCTGGCAAGAACAGGAGCTCACCAGAGCCTCCAGGACAGCTGTCACCTTCTCCCCAGGAAGAGGAAGGTGGGGACAGAGCAGTCCTCAAAACTCCGCTTGCACTGGGATGTAGGTCTGCGACCACCAAGGGATAACAGCCCATCTGGGCTACAGGAGGTGTGCAGACTGCTCAAGGCTATACAAGGTGAGTCTTACGCACCAGGTACTGCAGGAGGTACTGCTCCTCATGCCAGGTTGCTCGTGGGCTGTTACAGGCAAGGGAGACCTGCCAGTCTGCAAGAGCAAAGGCTGGGTGGCAGCTCCTTCTGTTTTTTTCCCCTAGGAAAGGGGAAAGCAGAGCAGCACTCCCACAGCATGCACTGCACCTGAATGCTCGCTTGCTCAAATCCCTTCAGACCGCTGGGAACAAGTGGGAATTGGACATTGTCTGGGTACATTGTAAATCAGTTAGATAAAATCCACTGCCAGCTTTGCGCTGAAACAAGCAATGGCAAGGCCCAGCAACACTGCTGGAGAGGTAGATGCCTATCACCTAGGAAATGCTGCAAGACTACCAAACAGCCACGGGCCAGTCTCCATTCTCTGTCACTTTCTGAATAAATTGGATTAAAACCAGCAATGCATTCATGAAAGACTGCTACGAAGGCCATTTCACACCCCTCAAGCTATCTCATATCCATCCATTTCTAGAGTGGGCACAGATCTGCATGAAGGTCACCCCTTCTGGGGACTGTGCTGCTAGGAAGAAATTAAAGCGACAATTAAAGTGGGATTTTTGTTGCAGCTCAATAAAATATAATCCCAGCTACACAAAATAAACACAGCGTGTGAATGAGCTCCTCTCTCCAGAGGACTGTCAATCTATCAGTCACAACTTGGGAAGGCTGCTGGCTAAGAGATGCACTGGCAGTGGAGGCTGGCATATTGATATGCCCTTTAAAGAAACACATGCACACACACATGCCTGTGCCACTGTCTAAAACGGGAGGAATCTGCTTACTTAGCTCTGAAAGCTATTTTTGAGGCGTGATGCATCCAATGTACATGCTCCAGTGTCCTTAATGCTAACTGGGAAACAGTGCATCCATGAGAGGAGTGCTAACGCTGCCAACGCACAGATTCTATAGTTGGACTTGATACTCCTTATGGAGACCCAGGGATCCAACTTGGGCTATTCTATGATTCTATGAGTTCCCTGCTGCTCTGCTCTCAGGCCCTTGCTGGTGGCCCTGCTCCCCAGCCTTCCCACCACAAAGCGGGCAGCAGCCACGTAGCTCACATGCAGAAAGCGGGCTCATGAATTTCAATGCACAAAGAAACATTTTTAGAACTATTATTTCTTTGATCTGGATGAATATGTGGAAGTGAGGGTAGATAAGTAGCTAATGTTTGGTAATTCCTCATACCATTAAGAATCCAAACATCCTAAGCCCAAGAAAAGCTCGGAAGTCTGCCTTGGAGTTTGGTGAACGCAAATAGCACAGCAGAACCTGAGCCAAAGGCTCTCCCAGCCCAGCAGTGCTGCCTCGTGTAAAACGCACAGCCCTGTATTCCCAGGAATAGGTCTGCAGGGGTTGGCACACTCAGCCTCTCCAATGCTCTCCAACTAAAGGCCACTTGGCCACAAAACGTGTTTGCACTTGGGCTCATCTCCCCACCTGTGTTACATGCAGGCTCTGGGAAATTCTGCAAAAAGATGGCAAGCAGGGGCTGTGCCATGCAAGGCAAGGGGAGCATGGGAGATGGTCTGTGAGGGAGAGGACTAGAAGACTCCCCCAGAACATTCAACAAAGCTGTTTTTACAAAGATTCCTGCACTTCTGTGTAACCTAAATCTAACATGACATGCACTAAATGAGAACATCACTTCTCTCCTTACTTATTAGCCATGATGGCTGCTGAGTGACATTCCAGCAACATACTCCAGGAGCGGGGCTGAGCGCTGCCAGACCAGAACCCGGCCAAGTACTCACTGTGTGCCCCAGGGGCACGGGGCATCCCCATCGCCTGACAGGGGACAGCAGGGGGCTGCACCCCACAAACCTCA